AAAATTTAAAAATCGTACATGAAATAGATCCAAATTTCACAATAATCCGATTTCATAATCAGCCGTGACATTTATTAATTATTAATAATTAAAAATAAAAAATATTTACTTGTGAAATATGATCCATCGCTATATTTTTTTTTAGCTCAGCGTCTATTACACATTTATACTCATCATATAAATTTTCTTGAATGGAATGATGCTTAATCAATTCAGCGTAAACAAGAAATATTTTTTCTTTATAATATCTACTTAATACTTCAATCAGATCCTTATATTTTTTATCTAGTTCTGTCTATTGAAATCATGAATGACTATGCTAAATGTTATTAAAATTATCTATTTGGACAACTCACGTGATTAAAATTTTTGTAGTATTGTTTCTTAATAGTTTCAGAAATGTTTTTATTATTAAAATCTATATTATTTTTAATGCAGCAGTAAAGAAGAAATTGGATCAAATTGGGAGAATTATTTTTGGTTTTTTTTTTAAATTCTTTTGACAAAGTTTTTACACTTGACATGATGAAGAGAAAATTTTTTAAATTCTGCACATAAAGAAATTAGCTTAATATATCTGCCGTCCAGTGTAATTATATTGTAAACAGTATATTGCAGATCTAGTCTTTAAAATAACACATATTTTTTCTACATGATAAAAATGTTAAACTTGATTTACAATTAAAATAAATAAACTATTAGTTTACTTTAAAGCTGGCTACATTAATCAGATCTTACAAAATTTTTTTATGCATATTAATTTAAAGAATCGTTAGGTAATAATTTTTTCAGAAAAAAAACATGCTTAAGATTTAATTGCATATTATACTTTATATACAGTATTATATATTGTATTGCATGTATTGCAATATTAATAATTACTTTTTAATAAATTAACATATGAAAAAGATTAAAGTTTAATAATAAAGACTTTAATTAAGATGTGAATTACAAGTATATTTTGTTTTAACATCAGCATTCAAAAGTTTTGTTTGAGAAGTGATATTACAATTCATTAAAAGTTAGCATATCTTAAACTCAG